GAGAACGAACTTGACCTGGAGGAACCTGACCTGGAGATGCTCTGATACCAAGAATGTTGGCTGTTTTTACAGCTTTGTGAATGGAGAAAACAACAGAAATCGCACCAGCAGCAAGAAGAGAAAAACTGGACAGTAAAACTGGAGATACAGAGGAAAAACAGGGGCATTCTGGGAAGAAAAACAGAGGTGCAAAGGAAGAGTTCTGGATGGAAGAAAAACGTCAAGTAGAGGAGCAAATCTGATTTTTTTTGAACTGATAGTACAGCAACACACTTTTTACATAATAAAAGCTGAAATTTAAACCTACTACAAGACATAAAATCAGCCCTACACTAGTCTAGTTTACAGCCCTTGGATTAGACAAAATAAAGAAATATTTCTTTGACTTGAAAACACATTACACATCAACAGGATGAACTGAAGAAGAATCTCGAACTTTCTGAGTGGCATATGGAGCCATCAAGAATGACACTTTACAGGTTTGGGAATACTTCTAGTAGTTCATTGTGGTATGAATTGGCCTATTCAGAGGCCAAGGGAAGGATTAGAAGGGGGGATAGAACTTGGCAAATTGCATTTGGATCAGGGTTTAAATGTAACAGTGCAGTGTGGCGTGCATTGAGATCCGTTGATCCGGCTAAGGAGAAGAACCCTTGGATGGAAGAGATTAATGATTTTCCAGTTGAGGTTCCACGGGTGGCAGCCATTAATAATTGAGGAAATTGTTCATGTTAGCATTGAGATCCGTTGATCCGGCTAAGGAGAAGAACCCTTGGATGGAAGAGATTAATGATTTTCCAGTTGAGTTTCCACGGGTGGCAGCCATTAATAATAGAGGAAATTGTTCATGTTTTTTTCTTTCAGAAGGGATGATTAATTAGCTATATTAATAGGAATAACATTTATATTAGTCCTAAAGTTTACATAAGAAATATATATGATGAAAACTTTCTATTTCACGTCATCTTGATAAGTTTTGACAAGCCTTACGAAAACTGGCATGATCTGGCAAACTGGAAATTGACTTGAAAACCATTTTGATTATAACTGGAGAAATGTAAACGAAAAACCATTGTGGCAAACTCATTCTACCATAGGTTTTCAGTAGTATTTTCTCTTAAAAATGAGAGATTTTTGTTTAGGAGCACTGACTTATTGTAATTATGAATTCATAAAACTATAGTGTTTAATTTTTATTTTTTGTAATGATGAAAATTAACTTATGTTTGTAACTTTACCCTTCATTTGAAAAATTATATTCAATCTACCAATAAATTTGACTAATAATTTTCACGAAGAATCAAAATCCTCTGTTAAAATCATCTATGACCAAGATTTATTCTACTAAAACCCATTGAACTCCCTATCCTCGCAACAAAATAAACCAAAATTGATTTTATAATCCCTACACATCTAAGATCGATTCCAAGTTCTTCTCTCTGGCGGACTGATTATCATACCACCTGCAGTTCTTCTATGGTGACCATTTTTTGCCTAACTCACAACTGAGGTTGTTCCATCTCGAATGTAAAACTTTCAAGTTATGTAATTAAAAACTATAAATTCCTTTACACTTCATTACGCAATGAATTCGCAGAACTCAGTTTCTTTGCTTACCAAAATTAATAACGTTTTCAGGGCAAAAGTACGCTTGGAATTGTAAGATCCAACATGATTCATCAACAACTGATATCGGAGAACCAGCTGAGAAATTCTTAATGTGCGATGCTTAGACTTTAATTGATCAAATGAATTAGGTATTAATTTCTCAACCTGAGAATAGATCTATTTACATCAACCACTTGCTACTTTGACAATGCTAGTACTCTTTCTGAAACAGGGTGTTGAATCAGGTCCAATTGACGCAATACATATATACATGACACAACTCTCCTCGATTAACACTAGTGGACTTGAGTCGTGATATGCGTCGATGATGGATACCAATTACTAGAGTCGAACCCACCATCAAGGTACTATAATATACAACTTATTATGACTTATTTTTAAGAAAATTAAGGCATTATCTTCCCTATAATTTAGACTACCCAACCTTTTATTGCGTGACTCCAACTCCAAAATCAAGGTTCAACTTCAAAAGCTAGCCGAAATCTCAATTGCTACCTGATAAGAAAAATTGTGAAAAAATATATGAGTTAATATATTCAATGAGTGGAGAATTTCAAGAATAGCTACACTTTTTAATTTATATATATTTATCGAAATTGGGTTCACCACTTAACAATTCAAAGTATAACGTTACGTAATAGTAGTCAAGACGTCAGACATTCTGATAAAATTGAAAATATCATCTCATAGTCATAATATAATCATCAACTAAAATTCATATTATCACATCATAATATATTGAGAAGTCTCACAAAAAATGTACCATCTAACTCATATCTTATCATATGCGCATAGATTGTTTCTCGGCTAAGCACTCCAGACATGGACCTAAGTTCCGCTCAATGAATGAAAGTGGGTCTCAAAGACCTCTAATAATCAATTTTTTAGGATATGATCAAAACCCCTAGTGAATTATATGTACGCTGTCAAGACCTGAGGTGCATTATTATACACGCTAAGACCCTTCAGCGCACTAGTAAAAGGATAATCATGGGTATTTTTTTCGTTGATTTGAATATCACATATATCTCACATTTCATTTCACCAGTAATCAATATACAATCTTATACTTCCACAAGTATCTTAACGTAATAAATATTCATTGTAGCCACATAATTGACCAATAATTCCTTAAAAATCTCACCTAACATAATAGTATAATTACGTTATCATTTTTAGAAATATTTCATTTTCCCACTCACAGGACTATGTATTGGACGGAGCCTAATTTGAATGATAAGTTTTCACAATCTCCTCGATACCACTTGAAATATGATATAGTGTCCAACTTTAACACCTAACCATATCAAGTAGCTCTAATAATTAAATAGGCGATAATAAAACTTAATCTTTTCAAAATTACCGAATTTTCTTATTCAATTTGAACTAATTCTACTACATAGTCTATTTTTTTATTTATAATTTATCAAAATTAACTTCATTTAACTTAAATAAATAGCTTATTGTTCTTAATTCATCTATTCCCTTTCCTTAAATTAGGATTTAAGCCAATAATTCTAAAATTTAACATAACTTTTCAATAAGCAATTTGTTTTACTTACCTCTCGAAATTGATGAACTAAGCTCGATAGTATATATAATTTCAATCATGCTATATGTACACCATCCTTGACATATTTTTTTACACTTTATCACGTGACAACATATCATTGGAAGGTTTTAAAAAATAAACAATTATCTCTCAAATCTTTTTTTAACAACACATGAAATGTCAAACTAGATGTACACTTGGAGTCTACATCTAGCATTTTTTATATCATTTATTTCTGACCACTTCGCCAACCGTAATCTCTTTTATTTTTCTTTTTGTAAATTTTAAAATCTAGGTAAATTAAAAATAATTTTAATTATAGTGTTGAAACACTGGACAACAATCGAACATTCTATACTCTGTTTCTAATGGTTTTAATTGCAATGTGCATGTTGTTACTATGTTTGAGCAGTTTTAACTACGTGCGAAATTTAATTAATAGATTAAACATGTAAAACACCGGATATAACGTGGTGAACTCCGAAGGGAAACATTCATGACCCCATGCGTGAGTCAAACAATCCACTAATTAATTGATAAAAAATACAATAGTATTTGATTTTGTAAATTTGCAAAATTAACAAAAAAAAAAAAAATCAAAATCAAAAGAAACCAAGAACAACTCCTTTTGTATCTTTGCCTTTTGATTTGGTGATAAAAATGGAATCAAACCCAATGGTCTTGACTTTATCACCACTTCCTTATTGTACTCGACCGTTACTTGGATTAAGAATTAACATCCTTAACTTCATACTGAGCAGCTTGATCAGGGGTGGAGCCAATCCTTCAAATTAGGGGGGTCCCGCAGTTGAAGGGGGCGGGGGCTCACTGGGGGGCCCCCGAATTTTTTTTTGAACCATTATCTGTTAAAATGAGGAAAGTTGGTACTTTGTGATGGAGAAATGAAGGAAACATTCATGACCCCATGCGTGGGTCAAACAATCCACTAATTAATTGATAAAAAATACAATAGTATTTGATTTTGTAATTTTGCAAAATTAACAAAAAAAAAAAAAAATCAAAAGAAACCAAGAACAACTCCTTTTGTATCTTTGCCTTTTGATTTGGTGATAAAAATGGAATCAAACCCAATGGTCTTGACTTTATCACCACTTCCTTACTGTACTCGACCGTTACTTGGATTAAGAATTAACATCCTTAACTTCATACTGAGCAGCTTGATCAATTGACGGGATTAAACTTTCAGTACAAGTTGTTTTGCATTCTTTAAACACTGAATAATGGAGAAGATGTTTGGCTTTGAAAATAATAAATGAAACATTGAATCAGTATAAACTTGCATGCAAATGGCAGCACTTCGAATAGGCAGGTCATGGACAATTTTTTTTTTTTTTTTTAAAGCTTCATTGCATTCTTGATTAATTACTTTACTTATACGTAAAGCAATTATCAAAGATAGGAATTAAATCTTATCTAATAATCTGCTATAAACACGGTTACAAACTTAGCATAAAAGATATACCGAAAAGATTTTCTAGATTTGTAGTAGGCTAATAATTATCCCCATATTTTCATTCTAAACAAATCTAAAGTATCTAGGAAACTTAGCATAAAATTAAGATATACCAAAAAGATTTTAGTCTTAATTTAACATATCCTTATTTTCTCCTCTAAACAAATTTGAAATATTTAATCTATTTTGCACCAGATGTAATCCTGATATATATAGCAAAACAATAAAATTCGCTGCTTAGAATTTCTGGACAGATCTGCTACCATCCCGATTATAACTTGTAACCTTCTCACACAGTTTTGACAATTAAAAGTCAACATAACATTAAGCAAGTCAATAAATATAACTTGTAAAAATATGACATATTTTTTTCAACAATCTCTCCCTTTAGTTTTGTTTAATTTCAAAAACTAGTGTTATATTTTTAATGTCATGTGTGATGATTGTGATCAACAAATTCACAGGGACTACCCCCCTTAGTCAATACTCATCATACATCATACTCTCCCTAACTCAATCACCCCAACATATTATGGTAGAGAACGCTAACCACATAATGTGGTAGAGAACGCTAACCAAATAGTCATCCATAAGTGTACTACAGTTACGCGTTTTATACAACATAATTATATCGCAAGTGTACGATGTCAATTTTTGAAATATAATAATGGAGTTAGGATGTCATACCCACAATGATTGATATTTAATTTCTACCAAGTACTATAACTATGTAGCTCTTATTAAATCTAGATGAATGAAATTTAGAATCAATGGTTTTAACTAAGTTAACGCGATGAATGTGATGACGAATTCAACAAATAAATGGAAGTTAGAAGAATGATCAAGATGAGAAAGTCTAGGGTTATGATTTCACGTAACTGTCAAATATGATTCTCAATTATATAATTATTTCTAATCAATTTTCTAAAGTTTATAAGAAAGAATCCTAATTTAATTATACTCCATCTCTCAAGTGTTGAGTAAAAACTATTCCTATAATTCAATTCCAATATATTTATCTCGAATTAAAATTAAAAAATTATCAAGTTCATTGTTCTTAAA